GGAGACAATTTTCCTGGATTCTCACTCCCCTTGCACTTCTTATGGTTTTGTGGTGAATCCTCAATCTTCGGAGCAGATCTAAGAGTATCCGGGGCTGTAGGAATGAGGAGGAATTGGCAAGCACAGATCCCTTCCTGTGCAGCCTTTTGTCTATCAAAGAGTTTTTCATCAGCAGAAAGCACCTCAAGCTCCACTGCTGAGCTAGATATCATTTTGCAAAGAGCTGTTTGCATTTTTCAAGCAGATGCCTTTCATATAAGAAGAGTGTTGAGGTAGTCGCTTCTTACAAAATTCTGTGCCATGCTAACAGTTCACCTCTCTGTTCAATTGTCCACGTGGTTCTTCATCTGTCCTCTCCCCCCACTGACTTGGTGAATGACCACTTCTAAAGGTGAAGTCTATCTGTGGTCTATCTTTTTATCCATTGGGTTAATAAAAATAATTACTCTTGTGAGCAAATCATCTTGGTTTTTTAGAGAATTCAGTGAGCAGAGTATTTTTTTTTCCTGAACTGGCGACATCTCTCATGAATCTCCTTAAGCATTGACTGTAAAGTTGCTGCAGGGAACCCAGTTGTCTGCCTTCCTCATACTGTTTTCTTTTTATTGGTTACTAGGAGCTCACTTAGGCAAAAAGGGAAATTATGCTCACATAACAATGCAGAATCAAATCCCATTTATTTCACAGTTCTGTCAAAGACTAGAGACAGAATGAGAAATCTAAGCAGCAGTGTGACTTATTGGTGTGTTATTTGAAGAGTGCAGCTTGTAATATACTAACATGAAAAGGGCTCTTGCACAAAGAAAAAAAACTAGGAAAAGAAAAATCCTCACCTATTGTGATTCAGGCAAAAAATAAAACACTTAGACTTTATTTTGAATATATCTTTTGATTAAAATTCATTGTTGTCACATAAAATAAATCACCTCCTTTTCTTCTAATATGACCTGAAATTGCTTCTAAGTGAATATGATATGAACTCTAAATGTTCACAGCCTTTACCATGACACATTCAATCACATCACAAGGCTCTGGCAGAGCTGCCAAGATTTTCAGCTGTTGTCATTCTTATTCAAGCTTAGAAGCATGAAAAACACAAGTTTAGGCAGTGAGTATTATATATAGTATCTCTCACACCAAAGAACCAGCAGACATTATATTTTAACATATTCTAGATCTTTATTCATTTGTGGCTGCTTAGTAAGAATTAACAGTATCCATTAATCAAGTTTTGATGTTTTATTGCAGAAGGATATTTATGCTCTTCCACAGCATTGTAGTTTTTAAGGTGAAGGGTGAGACAGTGTTGGTCCAGGAACCTATCCTAGGTCCCATTCATTTCAGTGGCACAGCCTCTATTCATTTCAATTTTCCTGTGTTGCTGTTGAATGGAATTTTCCCAGCAGCCATGCTTAGTGGATTGTTTCCCTTATATCGATCAGCCATGAAGCTAAACGAGTGACAGGGATGCCCACCCCCAAGACTAAATAGTGGAATTTATTTGCCAAAAGACAAGAACAGTGACACGTGAAGGTTTATCTTTTCATTAGCAGTCCAAACATCAGGGTAGAGAATGTGCACTGCATATACTGTATGTGAATATGCTAGAACAATCCAAACCCTTGCTCTCCTATGCAGAAATAACCAAGGGTAGGAGTGGAGATTCCCACATGTGAAAAGAAATAACGGTTGGCAAGGAAAGAGAGGTGGAATTAGTAGGAAAGAAAATGGTTGGAGTGTAACTCTTCTTGCCTTGCTACATGCATTTACTTAATTCATGCCAAATGCTTGCTTGCTTGCTTGTTTATTTATTTATTTATTTATTTCTGACATACCCAGCAATCACATCCATATAATGAAGCGGGTAGAAGCATATTCTTAAACACAGCCATTTTTGTTTCATTTGACAAACATTCATTCCTTGTGACAGTTCATATCCACCACCTTTCTAACAGCATTTCCACATTTTAACAATTGTCCATCTATTTTATCATCTTTAGGAAACATTTTACAAAAGAACACTAATGCATCCACTTGCCCTGATTTTTCACCATTTTTTTTTGTAACCTGTAATTATTCACTCCATTTTCCCTATGAAACACAAATACTTTAGTCTTTGATACATTAATATTCAGATCCAGTCCCTCATTGCATCCACGTCCCTCATTGCCCCTTATTGCATCATATAATCTTCCTATCATATGCTGCAAATCGCTCATATCTTAAGCCAACAACATAGCATTATCTGCTTACAGGAATGCACATGTATTCATTTTGCTAACCAGCACACCTCTAACATCACCAAAAGCATTCTATATATGTTTATCTATGAATACATTAAGCAACCAAGAGGATAACACATATTCTTGTCTTATTTATGCTCAATATAGATCTATTCAGTAATAATCCATTTATTCTCACAAAAGCCTTGCTTCCAACATATACCGCTCTTACTGCAATCAGCATTCAAGCTTAAATTCCATATTTGTGTAAAGCAGTCATAATTCAAGCCTATTCATTTCATGCTTTCTTTAAATTTAGTCTGTGTACCAGATTGCACTTCCTAAATTTTGCTTGTTTTCATTTCTCTTACATTTCCAAGAAGACTTTCCCAAGCATGAAAAGCAAAATAATCCTCCAATAGTATTTACATCCACTCAAAGTAAACAATGTCATACTTTCAATAAACAAACATGTATTTATTTGTTTTGGCTTAATGTAACCAATATTTTGATCACTAAAGAAATTAATTGCCCGTGGATCTGAAGATTCTGTGCAGCTGTCAAATACATAGCAACTTGACATTTTTGCAACTGGGATAAGCCAATAAGCAGAATCAAAGGAGAAAAACCAATTCTGTCCTGTTCTGAATTTATTAAACTCCTTTAATGCAGTAGTGGTGGTGGTGGTAATAGGAATAATAGTAACACTATTTAGAGGAAATATTTATCTCAATTATAGCTTGAGTGAACTTCAGTGCTCAATTCAGCTCGATTTAAAAGAAATAGTGGACGTGGAATACATGTACTTTATGGACCTTACTGTTCCATTTTGCTGTCAAAAGCATGGTGCTTCCACAGAGAGCAGCTATAGGAAAGGCAAGCAGTAAACCTAGTGTTTTAAAAAAACATGCAGCTACTTCCTAAAGCAGATGCTTAAATTGTCTCGGTTCTGAGGATTAGAGGTTAACATCAGAGAAAGCAAGTGAGTTGAAAGCTGTTAACAGCATGGGGATGTCTGCACACGCATGTTCAAGCAGAGTTTATGAATGAGGACATCAGAACTCAACTATTAGCAAAGTAGAAGACAAAGGGTGAGATCCTGTAGTTTCAGCAATTCTTGGGATCTTTCTATTGAAGATCCAGCCCAAGATTTTCAGTCAAAAGATTATTGTCAGAAATGCAGAGAAGTACAGAGAACGTATTGAACAAGTAAAAGGGGATATTTTAAATGTTGAACAGTTAGGGCAGAAGAAAGCAAACTACAGTACTGTTCTCTGGATATCTTGAACTTCACGATTCATCAGTCCAAGCAATGATAATATATATCATTGTTAAGTATGATACTTTGTGCCAGATGGAAAGGTTCTTGTCCAGTGGAGGCTTTCCCTCATCCTTCTTCCCACTGTAGCCATCTGCATTATCAAAACCAAAGTAGGAAAAACATGCAGAGCCTGGGTTTTGGAATTCTTTCCAACCCCTTTTACTAGAAGTGGTTATGTGTTTTCTGTATAGTAAAGTAACATGTTGTGTTTGTGCTCTGCGTGTGCATTTTCCTCCCAGGAACTATCAGGATCTGTGCGTATGTGGTACCTGTGTGTCTTTAAAAATTTAAACAGCTTCCATTCAGCATTATTACATTCCATATCTTTTGTGTATTATTGTGCAGGAATAATGGCTGAGGAAATGTTTAGGCTAATCAGCAGTGTTATTATTCAAAGCCAGGTTGACTAGAAAAATACATTGTTCTGAGCAGTGATGAGGCTTAAACATTGGCAGGGTTCTACACCAGTCTTATCCTATAGATTTGAGCAGTAGCTCCATACTGTGTATGGTTACAACGTACTATTACAGAGAAGCATTGGCTGTGAAATCTTTGCCCTTACTGTTAATTTCTACTTTTCAACAATGTGTGACCTTTATAAATTATATAAAATTTCATCCTGTAAATCCCTGGATTTTTACTGTTTTGTGTGAAGAGTTGGAAGTGAATGTGAGCATTTTCTATTACACTGTGAAGCTTTGTATTTTTCAAAAAGAAATATTTTGAAATGACTGTTTGAAATAAAATATAAAGTTTTATTGAACCATTGGTACTGAATTTAAAGGCAGGTTTCATCAATTTGATTGAACATAGAGAAGTGTGTCATTTTGTACTTTAACTGAATTGCATATCTCTGATGTGATTTCTGCAGAAATCAAAGAATAACCTTAAATGAACATTTTCCTCTAGTTGATGGCAGTAAAATATGATTTAAGCATTTGTTTACTGTTGACATTGAAAATGAAGAGCTATTATAATGGATGCATTAGAAGTGGATTCATTAATTGAATTTTCTATTAAAGAGCATTCTCATAAACTTTCCTTGATTGATTTTTGGTTGACTTGTAGAAATGACTGTTCACATTTATTTGAAAAAGCAGTCAAATACCTAATGCTTTTCATTATGGCATATAAGTGTGACCACATTATCCAGTGTTCTGTTCTTAGTTATTTAGTTAATCCCTGTATTCACTGCTTCCATAGTGGTGAAAAAAAGTACATTTCATTACACTTAACTAGTTTTGGCATCAGGCAGGTGAAATTGATGAAATATAGAGCAAAGCTCCACCAATCTATTACCTTTCATACAAACACTGTAAATCGCTTAAAATGAATGCACATGAAGGAAAAACACACAAAACGTGTAAATATCCTTTGATAGATGAATCCTACATCTGTTGACCTACAGTTCTGTTGAGAGTACAAAACTCCTACAGTTCCCAGGTGATATTCTTATAATGGGTATGAACTCTAGGAGTTTCAATCCAAGATATCCAGGGAATATCAGATCGGGTAAGTCTGCAGATCCTTTGAACAAGACCTTCAGCTGCTTTACTTGTAGCAAACAGAATGGGAAATGATTTCTGATAACGTGTTATCTGGATATTATAAAACTGCCTCTAAGAGGAATGAGTCTTCTTTAAAATATAAGTATACTATAAGGAAACTTTTTATACCTTGGCATCTGCCTTGTTTTAAATGAGGGAAAGTCAAAGGTAATTCAGCTTTGCAATTTGTGTTGCCCAAAATGTTGAACATCACATTCCAAAGAAAATTATATGAAAAAGAATGTCAATTATTTAAAATGCGCCTTCTAGAACTTCACTTAGAACAAAATCTGAAAAGCAGATGATGATAGCTGTGCATATAGGATGGGAGGAAGCAGAAATGAGTCAAACTGACAACACTCAAATTGCATTCCAGGATCAGCAGAGCCTGTCCACCTTTAGTTTTGCTTTCTCCAGAGCTTCAATGTACTCCAAACAGAGCAATATTTATAGGGGAGGAGAGCTGTGAAGCTCTTCATTACTTTATCATTACTTTTTCATGCACTAGAGCACCCATGGCCTGTTTGTGGTGATACACAGAAGTATAAGGTCTATAAATTGGGACTCCTACACACTTATCAGCGATGTAGTCAATATGCAGATGCATTTGTGCATGCATAGCTGTACCAGACATCTGTATGGAGATCTTCAGTGCTGCATTATGCTTAGGTGTAAGGTGTAGCTACATTATGTCTGCCAAGACTATACTTTCAAGTTTGATAGAACCTGAAAGGAAGATTGTGTCCATAAAAGCACTACAAGTGATACTCAAGTTGATGTCACCTAGTTGTGCCCAGCTTCAAGCAGTATAATATTAATAAAGGTGGTAGTAAATGTATTTCCTATCTTTATTACCCCTTCATCATAAATCAATTCAGTTTTTTTAAAAAAAATTATAGAACAAAGCCATTTGTTTCATGGCAGTGTAGCAGAATAAAGGTATTCCAAATGGCTCTTAACAATGCTATACTAGCATCTTATTTTTCACTAAAAATCTTTTCAAGTTTGTTTGTTTTTTGCCATGATAACCAGAAGAGAGCCATAGCTTTCACTCTTGCTAGCTGTACCAAAATCAGTTTGCTACAGTTCAGAAATCATTCCAGCGGGAAGCACTATGTTCTGACATGTCATACACAAGCTCCAGTAGCGCTAACATGCATAAAGGTTATGCCACCAAATATTAGCATTTCAAAACAGCAATTACAGAAATTCATTTAAAAGAAGTGATCCACTCTGTGATTAAGTGGGTGTGTTATATTCCTTAAATATGTATAAAAGAGCCCCATGCTTGTGATCTTCCAAAGAGTTGGGACTCTGGTTTTCAAAATTATTTAATTATCTGATATATCCTGCCTTTTCTTCAGGAGCTCAAGGTAGCTTACAGTATGTAGCACTACCTTCTTCTAATTTTCCCTACAATTCCCTTGAGGTAAGTTGTGAATGATTCAAAGTTATCCAGTGAGATGTTGTGCCTGAGAGTAGACTAAAACCTGAATCTCTCTAGTCCTAATCCAAAACTTTAACCAGTACCCCACATTGTCTCTCAGATTCCATAAGTGTGATCCTAATATATCTGGAGGGCACAAGGGTAGTGAAGATTAAGATGAAAGCATGACATATTTGATATAGTTAGATATAAGTAAGGTAAACTATTGAGACATCCTATCCAGCAATGTGTTCCTTTTTTCTGTTGCACATTTGTATCAAACTAGTAATGTGTATTATTTTTATTTTTAGTTCCTGCTATGATAACCTCCTATCCAAATACCACCTTGGCAACACAGGGTCAAAAGAAAGAGATGAGTTGCACAGCTCATGGGGAAAAACCCATCATAGTCCGCTGGGAGAAAGAAGATAGAATAATTAATCCTGAAATGTCCCGCTATCTTGTTTCCACAAAAGAAGTGGGTGATGAAGTCATCTCTACTCTACAGGTGATGCAACCAAGCTAGTATTTGCATTTGAAATGCGGGCAGCAATTTTGTCCAAGTATAAAAACAAACAGCCTGTGGGGAAATTTGATTTTCTGCTGCACTGTTCAGCCACAGATCTTCACTATTTCTTGCATAAAACAGGTCATGCTCATTGATATCTCTTGAAAATACCCCATACTATCCTTCTGTCTGAAGAGAATTAGTTCCTGTTTTTTCATTAGAGACAGTAATTTTTAAGCAGGCTTTCTAGATCTGATGCTGTCCACATAGATTGTACTACAACTATCCTCAGCCAAGATGGAATCAAATACCTTTTATCCTAGAAAATTCAAAATCATCTTATCTGCTCTTTCAGGAGTGTCTTACATATGTTCTTCATAAGGACACATGATGTTTATAATTAACCCCTTCAACTTTTTCCAGATTTCCACAGTAAGTGAAGAAGATTCTCTTCCACAAAGACCCTGTACTCCTATTTTCCTTGTCTTATATTGCCAACAAGGAGAAATTCCAATTCTGCCTGTGCTATGTGTATGCCTTGATCTCTCCATAGGTGAGAGTTCATTACATATGTGTAAAACATTTTGAGCTCAAAATGACAATACTAAAAATTTTGACACTACTCTGGATTGAAATCTTTTGGATTTCTTGCCTTAGCAAATAAACCACAAAAGGGAGGAATCAATCAATCTTTCCACCTACCTCCTCCACAAAAAATAAACCTGATGCTTCTACAAGTATGACTGCTATAATTCTTCTGAAATTGTTTATGTTTCTTAAGTAGAGTCGCCTCTACAATTTACATTATTTTCATGCAAGTGCTAAAATACAACAGATATGTATTCTTTTGGGACCCCCACCCAAATGTAAATGTTACTTATGCAGGCAAGAAACTGGACCCAATCAGATTTTGCGCATAAATTAAATCTGTGCACGAATTAAATTGTGCATGAATTAAGTCTTATTCATCATCCAGAAATAATATCTGCAGAATACACACAAACCTCTGGAGAGTAACTAAGGTAGGAACAAAACTCAATCAGGCTTTAAAGAAACACATTAAGTTCTGCTTTTTTATAACTTTATATTTGCTTTAATATTCACTAATGATCTGTTGACAAATTGTAAATTTAAAATGGAAACCCACTAGAAAAACTTGCTAGACGAAAATCGGAATGCATTTACCCTTTCATTTTAACAAAGGAAATCAATATCATTTATTTTATTTATTTATTTTATTAAACAAATTTATACACTGTCCATCTCACTGTATAAGTGACTCTAGGTGGCTTACAAGTAAAAAGTGATAAAAAAACAACAAAGATCTATATAAAAATATACAAAGCTAAAAGACGGAGAGAGCGTCCTCAAGCCACCAACTACCCTCAGTACTGCGAACCCCCATGAGGTCCCCATGCCAGTTGACAGAGCCAGGTCTTGACACTCCTTTGGAAGACCAAAAGAGTGGAGGCCAATCTCACTTCAGGGGGCAAGATGTTCCACATATTTATGCAGTTTTAGTAATTGTATCTTAGCATTGAAAAACATCAAAGAATGGATTTATAACTAACTGATAATTTTGTTGTAATATTGTTAATGTATAGAAAAATAATGAGGTATATATTTGATTTAGATGTTCATACAATCAGACTTGGAGTGAAGATGTATTTATCAAATACATCTTCTAAATACTATTGAACTATGGGGATCTTTAAATCATAAAATTTACAATCAGTTATTGTATTATTACTGCAAAACAGAACTGGGTTTTGTAACAAGAGAACAAGGCATAATGATTTGGAAGCATGTGGCATGATGTTGTTCTACTATGGCAGCTAAGGAAATGTAGCTTCTGCAGGTTGCTTGAATAGAAATCTGGGAATTATATCTCAGCCACTTTGGGCTATATAAAGAAGAACAGGTTATATGTAACCCATGTAAAATATGTAAGTAAGAAAAAATAATTTCTATTTCAGTAGCTCTTATAGTTCGCAGCCATCAAACTCAGCTGCTTAGATATAGATGTAAACTTTGCATCTACAGCAGCACTAATGTTGCTGCATGGTTTACTGACCATATAAACTTTCTGAACAATATCAATTATTGCATTGAAGGATAGGCTTAATTTCAATATTTCCTATTGAATGCATTTTCTTCTTAATCTGAAATGTAGATTTTGCCAACGGTGCGAGAAGATTCTGGTTTCTTCTCCTGCCATGCCATCAATTCATATGGAGAGGATCGTGGAATAATTCAGCTCACTGTGCAAGGTAGGAAGAGGACAACATAAGGAAAAAAACACAGCTATTGTAGTACAGTAAGTGTATGTCATGCTCAGAAATCTGTTGGGGGGATTAGTCATAATTAAAAATATTTATTTATTAGAAACTGTAAGAGGTTCAAATTCCACTTGCCACTGGGACTATTAAAACTGAACTGTACAACTACCCATGAAATGCATCGCTTATGGATGAAATAGGTTTAAATCTGCAAATTTATATCTGGTATAACAAGAAAAATTAGGAGGATTTAAACATGACATTAACATAAAATAAACAAAAAGTCCTTATTTGTATTGGGGTTCCAGCATTTACATTTAAAGGAGCTCATCATCCATTTGTCAGATTTTATGCATGAAGCATTTTCTTATCAGGATACTATTCATTCATGTAGCAGCAAATTCATGAATTAAATGCCCTATGAATGTGATTCTGAATAAGTGTTTTGCGGCAGTTTCCACACAGCTGGTCTCCTAGTCTTATATCACATCTTATTAATTATAAATTAAACTGCAATCTGGATTACTATTCAATAATAAACGCTGTTGACATAATGAGATTTAGGCTATACAGTAAAGAATAAACTCAGCTGAACGCAGTAGGACTTGCTTCTGTCTAAATATTCATAGCAGTGTGCTGGTGATCTTAATTAAGTAATTTTAGGCTTGCAGTAACCTAAATATAAATTGTCTGATTCTCATTCTGAAGAAGAAACAGTGCAATTTAAAAACAGTATGTTTTAAATGTAATCAATCAAAAGCCCCTGGCAAGTACAGTGTATTTTTATATTCTGAATCCAAGTAGTCAGGTTTCCCTTACCATAGTTCTTGCTAAAGAAAGGAACCATCATCAGACAGGGATTGGCAGGTTCTGGAACAGCTGTGGCGATATCCTATCAAATGCCATATTGAGGCAGAAATCAGGCACCAGCCTCTACATATCATACTTGCTCTCAACTATATGTCTTCCAACTTACATAGAAGATGCCATATTCTCTTCTATTCATAGAGTAGAATAGAAATCTTTATTGTCATTGTACAACTTGTACAATGAAATTAATGCCACCCCAGTGCAGCTTTAA